ATTTGTGTGGTGTTTATTTATTTATTTACCTTGTGACCTCTAGCGTACTAGGTTGCCAAGACTGGCCTTGAACTTCTGACCTTCCTGCCTCCGCCTCCAAGTGCTGTGGTTAGAGGCATGCAGCACCATGCTTTGCCGGTGTCCCCTGACTTGTGACAGCATTGCTCCGCTCTTTCCAGTCTCTCCCCAAACCACACCACACCATCTTCTTCGCTGTGTTCGGGGAAAGAAATCCCCGTCCACTTCGCTCTTATAAGGACAGCGGTGATTGCATTTAGGATACTTTTTTACCTCAAAATTCCTTCCCTTAATCCAGTGGTTTTCAACCTGTGGGTCAGACCGCCCCCACACAGAGGTTCCATATCAGATATCTTTTATATCAGATATTTGTGTTATAACTCATAACAGTAGCAAAATTTCAGTTATGAAGTAGCAACAAAATAATTTGAAGAATTGTTCTGGCAAACCTAAAAGGGACATTTGAAAGAGGATGGGAGACGAGACAGGGGACAGCTACAGCTGCTCCAGATGTGGAGAAAGCTGAAAAGATGCAGTGTCTCCATGTCTGATCCCTGGTACATGTGGAGGTGAACAATGGAGATTCAATATGGTAATGGGCTTATAGATAACATCATCTGCAAAGTCTCGTGAAATGCCATTTGCAAGCAGAAGTCCCGAGAAGGCTGAGTCTGAAGACCCAGGCCCCAGGGGAGTTGATGTTGTGACTTCCAGTGTGAGGAGAGGCCGAGCTACCCGCGTAAACCCTGGGCTGCGAATCTGGAGATCCTGTAGAGCTGAGGTGGGAGGTGAGGAGAAGATGGACGTCTCAGCTCAGGAGGAGAGAGTCAGTTTGCTCTCCTGTCTCCCCGTTTTGTTCTGTCTGGGCCTCTCCAGAGTGGAGGATGCCACCCACGCCAGTGAGGGCAAGCTTTGCTTTGACCACTAGATCAAATGCTAAATCTCTTCCAGAAACGCACATTCTCAGCCACAGGCGTCATGGCACAGCTCTGATGGATTCTCCAGCCCAGACATTCAGGCAGACACTGCCCTCCCGGGGCAATGACCATGAGCCATTTATAAAGGCAGCTTCCACATAATCACGCCACTGTCTATGCAAGGACATGACCTGCCACACAGCCAGAAACCTGCGCTCCACACCCTTCGCCTCGGCAGACACCACACGGGAAGAGATGAAATTTCTTTTTCTTCTAAAGCATTCAACTATGAGTGACCATGTGTCTTAGCCCATTTTATGCGACCTGAAGCTGGGTGATTTACACTTCACAGAAAAATACTTTTCGTGCTTCTAGAGGCTGGAAAGCACAAGAGTGCGAGACTGGTGTCTCTGAGGACTTCTTGAGGCGTCACCCTGTGGCACAAGGTGGAAGATAAAAGGTCAAGAGAATTAGAGTGAGGAGAGCCGGAGAGCAAGAAGGAGCTGACATCTCATAGCAAACCCATTCTTGTCAAGGTGGTGGCTCAAACCTCCACATCGCTCCTCCTGGGAGGCTCAGGCAAGAGGATCGCCCAGAGTTCAAGGCTAGTTTTGGCTGTAGAGTGAGACCCTGCCTAAACAAAAACCAAATAACTGTTCTAGCAAGAACACACCCAGTTCGTGTTAATGGCACTATTCCACGCAGGAGGAGTGAGAATGCATGTCTTGTTGTCTGTAAAGGTCTCATCTTGGAACAGTGTTACAGTAGGACCAGCTTTTCAACACATGAACTCTGGGGAGCGTGGTCACCAGAGCACTGTGTTCTAACAGAACCCCGTGTTTCAAAGAACAACACCATGGTCTACTTGTCAAAGCAAGGCCTGTGCACAGGGACCCAGGGGCTCACTCCTTCATCAGGAACTCTGAGCTTAGTCACAGTCCTCAAGGGCAGGCCCACAGAGACTTAAGGGACCCAACTAACATAAATATACTGCTGCAGTTTGTCAACTCACAAGCAAGATCAGTTCTTTAAAGTGATGTCAGTGATCGGATGTCACTGGTAGTGGCTTAGTGTCTTTCAACTGCTATCCTTTCCTGTGAACCAGAGGTGGTCCAGTGGCACTGAGCAACATGACCCCTTGATAAAAGCGTGAGAGTGCCTGGAGTGAGTGCTGAGATTTGAGAAAGCAGGAAGGCTCTGGACTGTCCTAGCCAGGTTTCTATTGCTGTGGTAAAACACCACGACCAAAAGCAAGAAACAGTTTATTTGGCTAGTGCATCCCAATCCCAGCCCATCATCGAGGGGAGCCAAGATCCAGACTCAAGTGGTACAGGAACCTGGAGGCAGGAACTGAAGCAGAGGCCATGAAGGAGAGCTGCTTACTGGCTTGCTCAGTTTACTTTCTTATACAACCCAGGACCACCAACCACAGTGGGCTATGCCCTCCCTCATCTATTATTCATCAAGAGAATGTCCCCGTGGGCTGGAGAGAGCGGGTAAGAGCGCCTGTTGCTTTTGCAGATAACGTGAGTTTCATTCCCAGCACCCACATGGTGACCCACACCTGTCTATAACTCCAGTTCTGGAGAATCCGATACCCTCTCCTGGTCTTCGTGCATTTCGGGAACATACATGGTACAAGCAAAATACTCATATACATTAAATTTGATATTAAAATTAAAATTAAAAAAAACCCAAATGCTCCCTTAGACTTGCCTATAGGCCAATCTGACGAAGTCATTTTCTTAATTGAAATTCCTTCTTCCCAGATGATCCCGGCTCATGCCAAGTTGACAACAAACAGACAAACAAACAACAAACCAAAAACCCAAAACAAATAAAACAAAAAACCAAGCACAGTTGAACCTCATAATTTTGTCTAATTCTACCAGTTTGCTCAGACACCTGGTAGCCACATGTTTACTATGCATGACTAAGTAACTGAAATGGGTGATTTATCTTCCAGGGTGACCACCCCGTGGATCCTCTCATCACGGGTGGTAGGCAGTGAGCTGACTTCCTAGGTCCCATGACCTGCCCCCTTCCCTGGGCTGTACCTGGTGTCCTTGGGTAGGTAGTTGTGAGGGGTGTTTCTGTTTTACAGTCTCTGTAAGCCTGGGAGCTCTGTGGGAGCTCTGTGGAGGTGGAGAGCTTGTCTGATCACTTCTGGGTGCTCCCACTCCAAGAACTAACCTAATAGCTGACAACATACAGTTCATCAAGTTAGGATTAAGAATGAAGGAATGCATGAACGTGTTCTTCCCATTGTCCTGCAGGGCAAGGGATAAGGAGCCCAGGGCTGTTAGACGTAGGCATGGAGACTGGCCCGTCGTCTCTCCTCCCTGCTGTGACTCTTCTTTCTTTGGCTTCCTAATGGTTAATGGTCACTTCTATAATCTCTAAAAACCCACGTTGATGAGGGCGTTCACCTTTCCATTGTATGTAATACCCCCTCTTCGTCCTGTGGGGTGAATTCTGTGGCTTACTGAGGTAGAACCTAAGCTTAGTGTCAAGTACTTTGGCTGGGGATGGGATAGCCCACCACGAGAGGTGTGGGGTTTTGTGTTTGCCAAACCTAGCAGCTGCCTCTTCTGTCCTGGCCATTCTGTTGGTCCCTCTGAACACTTAACCTAGCCTGGAGACTTGTCTTGGCTTATCAATCGTCATTGCCCCTCTTTTAACAAGACGGCCATGTCGAAATCTGTGCCTTGGTCTTGTCCTATCTCTGGAGGCATCTTGTTTACTTGTATGTAGCAGGATGCTGAGCCCTTGGAAGTGAATTGGGACCAGAAGAAAAATGTCAAGGCCTTTGAAGCAGAACGATCAAGACCAAATCCAAGTTTGGCTACATTTTAGCTTTGGCAAGTAACTGACCTCTTTGGACCTCTGTTGTTCATCAGAAATGGATTGCTGGGAGAATTTGAGGCCATGATATACTGCAGCACTCAGGGCAAAGCCTGGGAAGCAGAGGGACTCATGCATGAGTGCTAAACAAAGCCTACAAGATCTTGGGTTTGTAGTGAATTCCTGTGCCCTGTACCGTGGCTCATCTATTGCAGGATGACGTCAGTTATCAGCTAGGCTTTCCCTAGCTTGTTGGGGTTCCCTGTGTCATGTGCTTCTTGGAGCTAAACTTGAGAGTGTATGGCAAGAAGTCTTCATCTATGTGACTTGGAGGAGGCTGTCTGTCCACGCTGGGGTTGGACTTTTCTGAAACGCAACTGTTTGAAATCACCGATGTTCTGCTTCCAAATAAGGTAATGGGGAGAGAAGCAGCTTCCAGGTGAGCCATTAATGGAGAATCGGAACAAGAAAAGTAGACTCTCGTCCTAGGAAAGCAAAGGCTTTGGGAAGCCACTCAGGGAGTGAAGGGATACCTAAGAAGAACAGAGAACAGTGATACACTGGTAAGAAGTAAGCTGGCCATAGTGTCAGCCACGCAGCTCCCTGACCTCAGGAGGAGAGGTAGAAGCCGTTTCCAAAAACAGTTTCTCTTCTCTTGGAGTGACACTGGGATTGAGCCTTAAAAAAAAAAACAAAACAGGCCTCTCCATATGAAGATCCCCAAAGAAAACCGCAGAGACACCCAAAGCCACAGACACGCGGATCACACAACAGACACACGAAACTTGGAAGCAACAGGGCTCTGCCCAAAGATCCCCATCCCTCAGTTACTGCCTCAGTCCCTGAATTTAAACATATTGAAATGAATAAAACGCCTTAGGAAGTTTACTGATAAAAACGATGGATGACCCGGGCTAGTGAGATGTCTCAGTGAGTAGAGGCACTTGCCTCCAAACCTCACGTCCTGTCAATCCCCAGGACCCGCATGGTGGAAGGAGAGAACAGACTCCCGCAGGCCCCCGAGAAGACAGTACCTCACGTTCTTTTCCTCTCCAAATGACTCTTCTCCTCCCTTCCCTTATCACCCTATCTGAAGCTCCACGAGCCTGGAGCCTGCAGAGCAGCCGAGACTCCGTTTCGCCTGTGGGTTTTGTCAGCTGAACAAGGCGGCAAGGCCAGAGACGGAGAACCAGGTTCTTCTTCTTTTTTTTTTTTAACTTTTATTTTTATTTCATGTGTATGGTGTTTTGCCCACATGTGTGTCTGTGCACCCCATGTATGAGTGATCTTGGGGGCCAGAAGACGGGATCCCTGGCACTGGAGCTACAGACTGTTATGAACTGCTATGGGAGTGCTATGAGCTGAACCCAGGTGAGAACCAAGATTCTGAAGCCCCCCCAGGACATCAATGAAAATGGGACGGGGGAGACAAAAAAAAGGGGGAACCTAATGGGGACCATTATGAGTTATCCCCAAGATTCTGTCTAAATTTCTGAAGTGGCTGTAACAAGTGGCCCAGGAAGAGATTGCACACAATCAGGGTGTGCATCTGCAATCAGACCCTACCATTAGCAGCAAACTGCTGTAAGAAGCCCTAAGAAATGAATGCTAGCACTGGAGAGATGGCTCGGTGGTTAAGAGCACTGGCTGCTCGTCCAGAGGCCCTGAGTTCAATTCCCAGCACCCACGTGGCAGATCACAACTGTCTGTAACTCCTGTCGTGGGGGATCCGACACCCTCGCACAGACATAGATGCAAGCAAAACACCAATGTACATAAAATACAAATAAAGTATTAAAAAAAGAAATTATTGCTAAAATAAGGGGCACATAGAGAACTAGCATGATTAGTGGGAGTCGGAGTCGAGAACAAACAGGGTGAAGACTTAGAAAAAGTGTGTGTGTGTGTGTGTGTGTGTGTGTGTGTGTGTGTGTGAGAGAGAGAGAGAGAGAGAGAGAGAGAGAGAGAGAGAGAGAGAGAGAGAGAGAGCGAGCTGTGTTTATACTCCCAGAACCACTGGGAGGCAGAGTGGTGTGGTGTGTGTTGGGGGAGAGGGGGGAGCTGGGAGAAAGTACAGTTCTGGAACCAGGCCTGGAAAGTGTGGGAGCTGCTTTGACCCACGGTACATCCCAGCTATTTGGACCACTCTGCTGCTACCCTAGACTTCCTACCCCTTCTCTTCTGGATTGACAACATCCTCCTAACTGGTCATCTTGCCTCAGCCTGGGCCCACACTCATTTTCACACTCCCCCCTGCCATTCTCTCTCTCTCTCTCTCTCTCTCTCTCTCTCTCTCTCTCTCTCTCTCTCTCCCTGACTCCTCCACCTACCCTAATCAGCTCCCACCATTCCTAGGCCTGCCGGCCTCTATCGTATTCCATCTCCTTTCAGGGAATCAGGGAATGAATGGCAGAGATGAGAACTTGATGTGTGCCCATCACAGCCCAGGGCAGCGAGGGGCGTGAGCCTTGGGCATCAGGAGCCAGCAGCCCTACAAAGCAGGAAGGACATGGTGGATTTGCTTAAGGCCCATGGCATCAGAGAAGAGAAGCTGGCCTGGATTAGGAGAGCTGGCCTACTCCTCAGCGAGAGTGACTGTCAGCCTCTAGAACCTTCTATGCCTGGGTGACATGACTCCTGAGTCCTTTAGCCCGCCCTCTCCCTTCCCACCACGCCCCGGCTGTGTTTAGAAGCATTTAGGACATTAGTTTTGCTAGTGTGTTGGGAATCTAAACCAAACGACATCTGAATGAGGGAAAGGAAGCCGTAGAACCCAGCAACACCACAGACAGACAGACAGACAGACAGACAGACATTCGCCGCATCTGGGTGTTGCCTACCCTCCACACCCTGGGCCTTTGCTGTGCTCGCAGGAAGTCTGGCTCAGGTCTTCTCAAGCTCTTCACAGAGTTGCTGTAATTGGAAGAGCGGGGACACACACACACACACACACACACACACACACACACACACACACACACATACTGCAGGGCCTGATCTGAAGCCCTTTTCACAAGTCGACTTGGACATGGTTTCTAGGCTGCCGTCAAGACCAAGAGGGTTCGTGATAACTGCAGGAAGCGGGGTGGGGTTGGGGGTCATCTCACACGTCCAGGGCCGGCATGGGTCACCCCTGAATCTCCCACGCTGGACCATGAAACTTCTAGTATCTACACATGATGGGAGCCAGGCTGAGCTCCAGCACCAATACGGAAGAGTCAGGAGCAGCTCAAGTGGTGTTCCCTCTACTGTAGAGCATGTTTACATATCATTTGCATATTATGTAGAGCGGTATAGTTTCTTCTTTAAGACCCCAAGGACTAATACAGAGACTATTAAAAACTAGTAGTACAAAAGTGCATTGATTAATTATACACACAGCTAACACAAAAGCAGTGAACAGTTCATAGGGAGGCTAAAAGATGGTTTAGGATAATGATTATGCTAGATCGGTAAAATTGATTGCACACATAACCAATGTTGTTTTTAAACAAACAAAATAACAGTGGGTTGAAAATGAAAATCTAGAGAGAAGAGGGAGTTTGCAGGGTGGAAACTGGCTGGTGTCCAGGCAGAAAGCATGAAGCACCGTCGGGCTGGGATCAACAGGACAGTGGTTGATGGTGTGTGGCTGCGGGGACAGCCCCCGGGGTCACTGAGTACCACAAGCCAGTTCACCAGCAGCTGAAGTGCCAGCGAGGGCGGGGGCCGGAGGCAGAGTCTAGCAGGCAGGGGTGCTGAGGGCTGATGTGAACTGAACGGTTGCCAGGTGCCAGCTCTCTGCTGAATGACACCTGTCTATTGATCTGTGTCATCTCATTCAGCCCTTTCGGGGAGGCCAGCACGTGACTAGCATGACCACTTCTATTTATAGATGAAGAAATCAGTGCTCAGAGAACTGAAATCGTCGGCAAGATGGTTCAGCAGGTAAAGGTACTTGCCACCTAGCCGGACAGCCTGAGCTATGTCCCTGGAACCCACATGATGGAAGGAGAGAACCGACCCCCACAGGTTGGCCTCTGACCTCCACATATGTACTGTGTTGCACGCACACACACACACACACACACACACACACACACACACACACACACACACACACACTGTAATAAAATTTGAAAAGAAAGAAAGCAAGCTAAAATAATTGTCCAACCTGCAGCTAGCTGCCTCGCTGGCCAGGCAGTGTCTGCCTGGCTGCCTGGCTCTGCAGCCCGTGTGACTGACCTGTGTGAGGCCCTGGGTCAGCATAAAAGCATGTTTTAGTCTGGCTCCATTCCATGTCCTTTAAAAAGGTGAAGGGTTTTGCTTTTTGTTTTCCTTTCGGTGGGTGGCGGGGGGGATACTGGTAATGTGTATTTACTGACTTGTGTCCTAAAATAATGGCGATTTCCATTAGTAGGAACTAAGATGACTAGACTTTCTTGAGAGATGTTTACCCTTGACCTCTGCTGCCAAAATCTAGGGCGTGGTCTCCGTCCAGAGGATGACTCCTCATGGAACCAACCACTGAAGCCAAACCAAGGACATTCAGCAAATACCCTCGGGTGCTCGGAATGGATCCTTGCATATGTAGTCTACAATTCTCGGAGTCCTCAGACGTTTTCCTCTTGGCAAGCAGGAGTGATGGGCTGGCACTGAGGACCACGTGCAGAATCTGATGTGGCCTTACGCAGCCAGCAAGAAGGAAGCCTGCTCAGTGTGCTCTCTAACTGTTGCCTGGAGTGTGCAGTGAGACAGGCTGGGTTCCAGCTTTTCTCACTCTGTTTGGAAAGCTTGTCTAAGCCATATGACTCCAGTCATGACTTATTAAGCATGCGCCAGGTGTCAATGTGATCATTCCCTGCTTTGCCTCAACGCAGGCTTCTCAAGACAAATGATCTCTTGGGGATCTGCTAACTGCTGTAACGAAGACCCCGGATTCTATGTGCTTAGCGCAGTGACAGCTTCTTGGTCACAACTGGGCAGGTAGGACGTGGAGGGCTCTTCCAGGCACAGGCTCCTGCTGTCATGCGGCTTTCCCTTTTCCTAGGGTCCTGTGAAGACTAGGAAAGGGATCACAGTGGCTTAGGGGCCAACTTGTAAGTGTTGCAACTATTCATGATCCGCTTAACTAGTTTCCTGGACTCGTAGGTGTGAGGGGGCTGGGGCATTCCCATTATATGGTAAATTATATGCCTCCCTCCAATGCCTGTCACATCCCACAGGCTGAAGCCATAAGCTCTAGAACCTCAGAATGCGACTGTGGGTGGAGACAAGGCATCAGAACAGCTGATTAAATTTGAATGAGACCGTTGAGGCAGGCCCTAATCCAGTGTGACTGGTACCCTAACAAGAATAGATTTGGGCAGCCAAGAGACGCTAGGGACTAATAATACACAGGGGAACGGCCATTTGAGGGTAGTATTAAGACAGCTGTCATGAGCACTATACATCAGAGACACAGATGGATGTGCTTTGTGTCATTTCACACTGTCACAATTTATCTAGTAACAGCAAACTCATGAGCCATGTTGGCGTCATTGGCTGCAACTTGCCAAGTAGCTCTGGTTCCCCTTGACAAGCATAGGCTCTTTTATCCTAATCTTAAATACTAAAATGAATTCTTAGATCACACGTTATGCATCTCACAGTCCTTAGAGTTCTTTTTGTAACCATCACAAAATAGTTACAAAAGGGTTAAAGAAGGCGTCGGAATTTAAAGTGTTTGAAAATAGGGAGGCAGGCAGAGAGCTGGTATAGATGCAGTCAGGGCAGGTGATTGGACAAGACCCCGAGGATCCTCTTAGAGAGCTGTTGGGGTCTCAGAACCAAGTTACAGGGTGGCGGGATTAAGTCAAACCGCAGAGGGAGAAGACTATGGAGGTCACAGCATCAAGGCACAGGACTGGAGGACCATGGAAGGGGGGGGCAAGACCAAGTCCAAGAACAGATGGATGGATGGAGAAACAGCCTTTCAAGTAGGCTCTGTCAAGCAGTGGGATGCAACTGAGCCACCACCCTAGGGACAGTTGGTAGTTCTCTGCCTGTCAATGCCTTGATGCACATGCTAGGTAGGCCTATGATAGGGCAGTGGGGCCAGTGTTATCACCGGCATGGTGTTACTATCCCCCTCTTCAAGGGGTCCATGTGGGGGTGTCCTACCTTTCATCAGTCCGGTGTGTTTGGGAAGTTCCTGGGCATGACTTTGATGCTGTGGTTTTAATTAAACCTATGTTCTGTGGTTTTGATTACACTCACGTGCTGACGCGAGTCCAGTGTGCTTTGAGACGTTTCTGTGTGATATCTTCTTACTTTCAAGAACAACCTGTCTGTGACTCACGGGTGGTGCTGGGCAGGTGGTGGCCACGACATGCACCATGACACACAGTCACCTTGCCTCTGCATTTATCCTCAAAAAAAGAGCCAACTGCCCCTTGTAAAATGGAGTCACCCCAGGGCAAGGTACAGCCTGAAGGCCACTGTTCTGCATACTGTGAAATCACCAAGACCTAGGAACACCCAATTTCCATGGTAGCAATCTACAAGTCAAACTTTCTGATCCTATCACCTTCGACTTCTGGCCTCCCAAACTGAGAAAACAAATGTCTATAGCACACCCAGGCTGTAATGTTTTGTTTCAGCAGCCTGCACTAACTAATACAATATTTGCAGTGGGAACTCAGCGAGGTCAGCTGTCCATGCCACAGTCCCCCCCTTGTCCCCTCCCTGCCCCACCCAGTGAGGACAAGCACAGCTCCCAAGCTCCTGCATCCAGCTGAACATTTAGTATCTTCGGGTCTGTTGGATGATCCACAGCTTTAAACACAGGCTCCTGGCTTCTCTGGCAACATGATTCCTTCAAAACCTTAGGCCTCCAGTAGATCTTCTTCTAGCGAATTCCATGTAGTAACTCCACATAGAATTTTCTTCTGAGTCACAATTCTCAAGCCTGTCTAAGCTGGGTTGGCTCTCTGGCCCCATTCTTTCTCAAACTTAATGGTGGCTACCGCAAGGCTCCCTGGTTTTGGAGAAAGGTATAGTCCCTGAAATGATTTTTCTTTTCTTTTTTGCCTCAGGACTTACTCACTGTACCTTGTTGAGAAGAAAGATTCACTGGGCTTCTTCGCACATAATCTCTCTCTCTCAAAAAAATTAAGTGTCTGGGAAAGAAACTTGTGTTGTTATGAGCCTCTGAAATTTGGAGATTATTACAATAGTCAGTAGACCCTTACTAATACAGGGCTTCATTTGATGTGGAGAGGTAAAAACCGAGCCCGAAGGAAGAAGTAGGCCGAAAAGAGGTCCTTTGTCCCCTCGCTTCAGGACATGAGTCCCTGACTCTATTCCATTTCCTTCTCACAGGCTGACCAATTAGCTCTTCACTGCGTCTGCTTTATTTTTTAGTGTCTTGCTGAATGCAGTCCACAGGCAGCACCAGGGCTAACCTTCTTGTTTTCTGTTTCCATCCTCTTCCCCTAGGCGGATGACTTCCAGGTTATCACAGGCAGCGCCGGGATCTGTAACATAGATCCCTGCTTACCTAGTTTTTTGCTGCTCCTCTCTAGCGAGCCTCATATGGTCATTGCTTTAAAGCAGAGGTTCTCAAGCTGTGGGTCATGACCCCCCTGGGGGGGTTGTCCAAAGACCCTTTCATAGGAGTTGCATATCAGATATCCTGCGTATCAGATATTTATGTTACAATTCATAACGGTGGCAAAAAATATAGTTAGGAAGTAGCAACAAAATAATTTTATGGTTGGGGAGGTCACCATAACATGGGGAACTGTAGTAAAGGGTCACAGCATTAGGAAGGTTGAAAACCACTGTTCTAAAGGAAGTTTTCCACTCCAAGAAAAAAAAATTCTTGTATTACTCAAGGAAGGGAAATGTTGAAACAAACAGCTGTTAAAGCTCAGTGACCATAACAATTAATACAGAATCAAATGTCTGTCTTCAGTGCTGTGGGATGTTCTGTATGTTAATTGTGTTGCTCTGATTGGTTAATAAATAAAACATTGATTGGCCAGTAGCCAGGCAGGAAGTATAGGTGGGACAAGCAGAGAAGAGAATTCTGGGAACAGGACGGCTGAGGCGGAGAGACGCAGTGAGCTCCCACCATGACAAGCAGATGTTAAGATACTGGTAAGCCACAAGCCACGTGGCAACTTATAGATTAATAGAAATGGGTTGATTTAAGATATAAGAACAATTAGCAAGAAGCCTGCCACGACCATACAGTTTGTAAGCAATATAAGTCTCTGTGTGTTTACTTGGTTGGGTTTGAACAGCTGCGGGCCTGGCAGGTGAGAGAGATTTGTCCTGACCGTGGGCCAAGCAGGACTGGGGAAAACTCTCGCAATAGTCTTTCTCATGTCACGGTGTGCTATTGACTGGCTCAGTGACAAAGATGGAAGAAGCAAGAACCATGCTCCACACTGTCACTCAAGGGCCCAGGCTCCTTCCATTGTGTGCATCCAGAATTGGATAAAGCACTGGACTCCCTCCTGGTTTGGGCATCCGGTTGGTAGATAAAGGGAGAAAGATCAGAAGGAAGCTCATAAGACTCGCAGCTTGCTAAGGCTTGCCTGTTGGTAAGAGCCTTCCTAGTGAGTGCTCTTAAAATTCAGTCCACTCAGCCCAGGAAGAAATGGTGACACATATACAGTGTGCAGGAGCATCCCCCATCCAGCCTTGCTTTCTCCATGCTGCTGATGTTATGGACACAGGGGTAAGTTGCTCAGTTTTCCCTGTAATGGAGATGTCGTTACTTCTGCTCCAGGGAGTGCTGCCTGCTGGGACCTTTACCTTTCAGCCCTCTCAGATGCATCCAAGATGAAATCCTTTCTGCTGTGGCCCACACTCAATGACTTAGCAAAGCCCAGCTATTTTGACCCAGTCGGGACAGCTATGGCTCCTGTGGGATTTTTAGCCAATGTTACCACTGGGTTTCTCTGCACTTTTCTCTGTGTCCGTTCTGACTGTCCCCTTCTTCCCACCGCTGTTACTCCCGAGGCCACTCACCAAGAAACCTAGACACAGACTGCTTCCTCAGAGGGCCTCTCCTTCCCCAAGGTAAATACCATAAATGTTTCCATCAGAGCTCTGTTCCAATATTAGATTATTTTCCTTCCGTGCTGCTGTGGTTCCAGCACCCACAGCAGTGCCAAAAGCACACCACGTGCTCCTCCAAATGTATTTTAGTTGAATATTTATTTAAATACACTTGTGTACTTGTCTTCCTGGCCAGGCCATGACCTCCTGAAAGACAGGGTCGATATGGTCTTCTGTGTGTCATCAGCTCCTGGCCAAGTGCCTGACACTTCACTGTTACTCTATATGTAGCAAATGTGTGACTAAGATGAAGAGCTGGAGAATGGTGGGAAGACCTTACACCACAAGCCAGGCCAGTATTTCCATGGAGGGCAGAAGTCACTGGTGGTGTTGAGGTATAAGTGTTGAGTGACTTACTCGAGATGATATTTGCTAAATAGGTATTCTTTTTTTTTTTTCCTTTGTTTTTCGAGACAGGGTTTCTCTGTGTAGTTTTGGTGCCTGTCCTGGATCTCACTCTGTAGATGAGGCTGGCCTTGAACTCGCAGAGATCTGCCTGGCTCTGCCCTCCCAGTGCTGGAATTAAAGGCGTGCGCCACCACTGCCACCCCGCGGTATTCTTTTTATTTCGTTTGGGACGGCTGGTGACAATTATTGAGGAATAATGCTCCAGCCACCATGTCCTCTTCAGTGTTGTGACCCTGAGTTAAAAGAATTCTACTGGGCAGAGCGAATTAAAAACCTGTGTGGCGACTGAGAGGCGACATCAACTTCAACCTATTTCCTGAGCACCCCTGGTGGTGGGGCCTGGCAGGAAGGACTGGAGAGAGAAGCTGGTGAGGAGAATGGGCTCCCTGGGATGCTCATGGAAAAGCAGAGGAGACAAAACAAACCCATCATGAGAACTCAAACACTGCTGGCACAGGAAGGGGGACAAACAAATACATATGACACAAATGCTGTCGGAGGTGGCCTCTGAGGCCGGAAGTGAACGCGGCAGAAGGCCTCGGCTCTGAGTCAGAGACATATGTCATCCATGTGGCCTTCCACCCTGCAGACACAGAGAGAAAGAGGGGTAGGTAATGGCTTCAGGTGGGCTAGAAATAAAAAGGATAGGTGATGGATGACCGCAAGTCTAGAAAACCAGAAGACATGAGAAAATCAATAAGAGAAATTCTGTAAAGGAGGAGGGAGGCAGGGGAGGTTGGAGGAGGGAGGCAGGGGAGGTTGGAGGAGGGAGGGAGGGGAGGTTGGAGGAGGGAGGGAGGGGAGGTTGGAGGAGGGAGGGAGGGGAGGTTGGAGGAGGGAGGGAGGGGAGGTTGGAGGAGGGAGAGAGGGGAGGTTGGAGGAGGGAGGGAGGGGAGGTTGGAGGAGGGTGGGAGGGGAGCTGGGAGCTAGGGAGAAGCGGGGAAGGAGCACAGAAGAGACCTCTGGGCACACACTGTAGTAGGTCCTCTCCAGAGTCTCAGATTGGCCTCCCCCCAGCCACACACACATATCTCCTAGCTTCATTTTGAGTTCCAAAAGCTGCCAGCCCTTGGCTCTCAGAGCCTGCCCTCCTCCACACAGGCCAAGGTCTCCCCGGGGCCTCCCGAGAGCCCTCCAGCAGCAGCGGCTCTCTGGCTCTCTGGCTCAGGGGGGGGGGGGAGCTATGTGGAGAGCTGGGCCCCCTCTGAGAGGGTTCGACTTGACTCCCATCTCCACCCCCCTTCCTTTACCTCCCCTACCCTGTGCGACCCCACACCTGACAACCCTGAGCTGATGATGGGCTGATCAAGGAACCCAACCCGGTTCAATGTCACCTGCAAACAGTGGACAGTGTCTTCTCGCTTGGCTGGAGGCAGAACCTGAGAGAAGTGAAATTCAAAGTAGAGTATAGGGAAAAGGACAGGAGTCAGCAAAAATAACTCTTTAAATTAAAAAAAAAATGGTAAGATAAGACTTATTGGGGTTGGAAATTTGTTCTCTGGTTACTCTCAAAATAACACTCTTAAATGAGAAAAATAAAATGAAGCAGGTATTCTTCAGAGAGAAATGAGCACAAAAGCCTAAAATTAATTGACCCGAGACCTTGGATAGTATAAGAACAATTTAATGAGAGTTTGCTAAGTGCCTTTCCTGATAAAATGGGAGGGAGACAGGAGTCTCCTCCAATAGCTGCTTCCCTCCCCGGCTACAGCTTCCTTGCTCCTCAGAAGAAGGGCTGGTCAATAAATTGTCCCCAGAGTCACCAGGTGGCAAACAGCCACCCAGCCTGATTGCTAGAGTGATCACACTGGGTGGGACTTGGCACGTGTGTCCTCACGCCATGGCTGCTGATTCATTAGCGTGAGTGCTGAACCCACCCACAGCCAAGCTGTCCTGTCCTCTCAGCTCCACATGCAGGCTGTGGCACACACACACACATACACACACACACACACACACACACACACACACACACACACACACGCATGTGCTTATACACAATACACTTATGCACACACACGCATGTGCATACACACAATACACTTATTCACACACACGTGCACACACACATGCATATACATGTGTACGCACACACAAATTGTTTAAATGTCAAAAAAAACTTAATATAAGCTTAAGCATAAAGGTTAAGAGAAAGGTGCTCGGGAAAAAGCACATACACACCTCAGTGTGGGTCTGGGCTCCCTAAGAGATCATCGGAGAAAGTAAGATATACCACATGTGGCTCTGGAGAAAGAAGCGTAATGAACGGTCTCAGCATTAGCTGTATACACCATTTTGGTGGCTCTCAAGCTACATCTCCAAAGATTTCTAGGAGACTCTTCTTCTATCTTCTGACAGTGAGGGGCCCCAGCGGTGCCTGGGAGGGAGCCACAATTCGACAAGGTGGACCTTGATTGCACTCGGGGCTAGTGCACATCTTCTTCCTGGAAGGGGGTGTTTCTGGAGAGAGGTCTAGGAAAATGCAGGGTTACAGCTGGGAAGGGAGAAAGGCGTTAAGCAGACGGTGCTAGAGCTCTTGCTTTTCTCCTGGCACTCTTGGGTCAGGGATTCACTTCTTTTGTCCCCCCCAAATTTTCCTGCCTTCTTCGTCTTATTTGTGAGATTCCTTGGAAATGTCTGGGAGAGGAGTGAGGCCATACCTGAAGCCGTATGTACGAGGGCTCATTGGTTCATTGTTTGTTTAGCACTCTCATTTGAAAATATTTCCATATAAAAGAAATATTGCCCCTATGTCCAGGAGCCTTCACAGTGAATGTTAATTGTGCTGGAATTCTTGATTCTCAGCCGGCAATGAACATTAGCTATCCCGCCGTGAGGGGCTCCCCGCCCCCCATGACTGGCTTTTCCATCCCTGCCTCAATACTAACTTCAGAGTTAGTCCAGATTCCCAGAAGAGTGCCCTCTCTTCAGAAGTCAGGCACAAGGTTCAGGCAGATTCTCTAGCTATCTGGAGTTCACATAATCTCCTCAGAGGTTCAGTAATTCACTAGAACAAGTTACGGAGCTCAGGAGACACTCATGGTCAGCAGTTTACTGTAGAGCACTGTTAGATTCCGTGGGAAATGTGGGATTAAAGAGGGACAGAAGGGCAGAAAGAAGAGAGCATCTGACCTTGTATAGGTGGGACCATGTTTAAGGCAAAAGGCGTCTGGTCACTCTCATGTGTGGATGCAAAATACCTACAGAAGAAGGTGGGACCCCTTAGAGGGGAGGAAACGACTACCATATCATATTCCCTCCTTTCCAGAGCATCTTGACCTGGCTGCAAAGGAAGCTGGTAAGTGTAGTCTCTTAGTAGGAAACTTGCCCGCATAAGAACCCAGAACAGCCTTGCCTGGCAGGTGGGGTGTGTGTGTGTGTGTACTTGTGTGTATGCATGCATGCATCCTGGGTAGTACAGAACTTCCATGGCTTTCACACTTTCTTTGGACACATCCTCTCCTCAGATCTCCTCTACAACCCTGTCTCTAGCCCTCTCCCCTCTGTGGACATTAGGGTGGGACTCAAGTCTCTGACCCTTGAAGGATTCCTTCAGTCTCTTCTGGTGACCAGTCTTTCTATATTGGGCCCTATATTGAGTCACCTCATTAGCATGAACTCTGGTGACATTTTTTAAAAAGTCATTACACATAACAAAGCATTCCTTATCACACAGGAAATTCCAAGGTGCCAGCAACCTGGGGACCAAGACCTGATAACGTTTTTATTATGCCCTACAGCTGAAGCCAGTGCAAGCCAAAGGTGAGTCAGCTAGGCTGACAGCCCGAAGACTCTCCTCCCAAGGCACAGGGAAGGGTGGAGAAGGGTGGAGGGTGGGCCTGAGGGCCAAGCAGAGAATGTCCAGGACACCCTGTATCACATGCACCTGCCATGTGGGGAACCCGGATGCCCCCGCCTTCCCACAGACCAGATGACGGAGGAGAGAGAGATCACTGCAGCGGATGGTGAAATTCACACTTCAGGCACATCAGAGGAGCACTGCCCTGCTGCCCGACCTGCATGCCATGGAGGCCTCACAGCTGCTTAGGGGGAGACCTGAGTTGGGCCCCTGGTGCCATGCCTCCTCCCATGTCGCTGAGGGTGGGCTGGCGCTGTGTCCTTGACTGAATGTCTATGCCCTACGCTATACCCTCCTGCTCTGGCTTTTGTTCCTATCGCTGTAGCCCATGGCTGTTAAGTCCCTTCCTGGGTTGTGATTCTCACGGAGCCGCTTCTGGGGCCAGCTTCTTTCAGGCCCGCGGGAGCATCCCAAGGTCACAATCCCAACTTCCAGCTTGCTGCCCTGGATCTCATTTCCCAATCTGCTCCAAACCTGTGCTGCAGAGGACCGCAGCTCCCGCTGGGCTGGGATAGAAAGGGAAAATTATGGGGAGCCGGGATGGGAAAGTAGTCATTACCTCAGAGTCTGATTGAAGCCTCTCACCAGGTGAGAATCAAGAATCTCAACACAGTTAACACTTGTTTAAACTGTCCAGGCAAAAACAACAGTTCTCAACTCAAAGGTAATAAGAGAGTCTGTTCTGGAGCAAAAATATGAGTGAGCGTGGCCCAGGAACATGGAGCTGGTGACCGTGGGTTCCCTGCTCCAAAGTGGAAATCATTTCATGGAGTTTTTAATGGTAACAGTACAAAGAAAATTATAAATCAAGGTGGTTTTAAAATGCATCAGTGGAAACATTAAGCAGTCAGAGCACAGTGGAGAAATCTCAACTGTAGGCATTAGATGTTATCTGATAGCATTCTTAGCCCTCGATTGGTGGAGAACAGAGTTCTGTCAAGTTACTACATTGTAAGGGTTTTCATCTGTCCTTAGGCTATCAGGCCTGGCTAGGAGCAGGATGCTAGGTCTGGAACAGCCGGGGTAAGGAATGGCTGTTAATTAGGCCAATGATCACATTAATTGTAATTGGGCTTGAAACTGCCGGGTTCCAACCTCTCCACCTCTTTGAAGTTTTAATTAGTTAATCAGCCAGTGTAGACAACCTCTTTCCAGGAATTCTCATTCACGAGGCCTTCCTCCTTTCAGGAACCAGCTGTAGACCAACAATTTTTCCAGGAATCTCACAAGAAACCCTATTTACAGAAAGAGATGTGTCCCAAACTTCCAAACAACCCGAGTGGCTCCTGGTTTTACATTATCAGATGACAATCCCATCCAAGCGTTTAGAGCCATCCTGTAATCTCGCTTATCAACAAGAGAAGGAAAAGAACAACATTTTAAGGTGTAACTTGAGAGCCAGCAAAGTGGTGTACATGGCTAGTGCTAACACACTGAGTTGGGTCTCTTTCGAGGAGTCCATAGCGAGTGCACTTGGGTCTGTCTTATTCCTTCCCAGGACACCTCTCTCTGTTATCATCCATGCTTAAAATCTTTGCTAGAAATCTTTTAACATAGAGAAATTAAGCTGGAACTGACCTGAAAACTCCCTCCCCATTGATGAGTTTTCCTAGTGATGAAAGGTGCCAGGAAGGCTGCCGTGGGGGAAAAGATGTCAGTGGCATCCTGCAGCCCACACTGTGTGTTACATCTAATACCGACCCACTCGGCAGCATGTCCCAACCGAGGCATTAGCGGCATGAATGCTGTGGGGATAACAATGCCTCTGCATTGGATTTAAGGCCTGCTCCAGAGAGAGGAATCCCAGCCTGGCTCCATTAACCTGGCCAAAAGCCTGTGGCTCAAGAAATCATAGGCCCTAGGGAGGAACCCATTACTCTTCTTTTGCTAAACGGACATATTATCAACCACTTTCTAAATGTTTATGTTTATACACACAGTGCTGCCCTCAACCTTAGTTCGAGAAGCTTCTCTCTGTAGTGGGCCGCAGTTAACTGGTCACGGTACTGAGAGTGTCTATTGAAGGCTTATCCCTAAATGGGACATCTCTATCAAACACCTGCCCACCACCAGGAGGCCCAGAGAACATTGCAAAGGGGCAGAAAGAAGATAAGAGCCAGAGGAGGAGGAGAAGGCTATGAAGGAGGAGGCTGTCTTTGGGATACAATGTAACCATTTCTACCCATGAACTCACTGCAGACGCAGTTAGCTGCACAAGACCCGGAACAAGACCAAGCCAACAGGAACAGTCGCCATTCCAACTAGCAGGGCTAAATGGGACTCAGTGGGTTATTAAAAAGAAAAGAAAAGACGTAAATAGGGAAGGGGGACATGTTGGATGTTCCTGGGGGAGTGGGAAAGGGGAGTCAAGAAAGATGCATTGTTTATATCTATGAAATTGTCTAAGAATGAGTAAAATATATTCTATTAAAATATCTTCTAATAAACTACAACTTTCCTTTGAGAAGTTCCCAGCCATGATGTGTGCTTTTTCCTCCTTTTCCCTAAGCACCTTTCTATTTTTTTTTGTTTTTGTTTGTTTTCTTTGAGACAGAGTCTCACTGTATGTCTCTGGCTAGCCCAGAACTTCCTATGTAGACTAGGCTGGGCTCAAACTCACAGAGCTCCTCCTGCCTCTGCCTCCCAGGAGCCAAGATTATAGGCTTGACCACACATCACATTTCTAGTTTTAATAAACTCTAACTGTGCTTCACACTGGCTGGTCCTGAAATTCTTTTCTGCTGTGAAACTGAGCATCCAGTTTTACCTGAGCTGAGGTTCCTAAAAGATGGAAGGGACTCCTCAGACTACAGCAGGTGACAGTGGGGCTGTATCTCTGTCCCTACCATTCATGCCCTCTGTACTTATTCCACTAGGAATAGTGTGCCCATCTCCACTTGCCCACACCTAGTCTCTCCAAACCCACCAGCTCCTTCAGGACACCCTTCCCTCCCACTCCCTTTCTGCTGGTCCCTGCCTTGTAGAGGCTGCCAGTTGTCCATCTGCAGACCTCTGACAGTGACCTAGCCCTGTGCTCACTTCCTTCCCATGTGTCTTCCCAGTGGGCCTTCATGACGTTCTTACTACGCCTGGCACTCAGCATGGAGTGCAGGAGGAAATGGGCCGCCCTACCCTCATGGAACTTCTAATCAGCCTAGCCAGGGGACATAAAGTGATCAAATAACCACACAGAACTGTACACTTTATCAGGGCAAGTGCTGCTGCGGAGTAGAACCAATAGCCCAGAGAAAGTACATAACCAGGGAATTACCTGAGTCACCCCAGGCAGGGAAACCTCCTTCAAGGAAATGTCACTGAGCTGAAAGCTGAGGGAGGGGCAGGGAAAACTAATCTGGGAAAGAGGTGAAGGAAGGATATTTCACAGAGGGCGTGGCGTACGAGAAAGCCTCCTGTCAACATCCCCTCTGTTACTGTCTTCTGCCTGAACCATTCACTGTGATCTCTTTGAGACAGCTCTGCTTCTGGTTTGATCTAAGCTCAGTCCAAGGACTGTTCTTGTAGGAACTCAAGAAACCCTTAAGCTGAGTTACACTGAATTATGCTGCATCTGGTTAGAACAAGAGCAGCCAGATAAACCTTCATTGCCTATCTGAGCTTAGGCACAGGGAACAGGACACGGGACACAGGACACAGGGCACAGGACACAGGACACAGGGCACAGGACACAAGACACAGAGACTTTTTCACTAGCTCCCTCACAAGCCACACTCAGGTCTCAAGTGCAGACTCAGCCCCTCTGAGCCACTGCTGGTGTCATCTGTGGCTCATGACAATAATTGCCAGGGCCTTACAAGAAAGGCTGAGGGCAGTGGCCAGAGTGGAGAGCACGTTCTAGACATTGTCCTTGCAAACAGTGACCAGAAGATGCCATCTACTCTGGTGACCCACACATCAGATTAACTTCAGCTTTGAGAAGTCCTTTGACCTTGACAGGCAAAATCCTCACCTCAGGGCTACAGGGTGAGAGACAAAACTCAGGGTCGCAGGACACCAGGGAGGCACTAAGGCTCCAATTCAAGTCAGAACCATTCAGGTCATGAGCATTTAGGTGGAGGTAGAGGTGGAGTTTCTCTGTGTCTCAGCAGCTGCTCCCAAATAACCTTTCAGAGACTTAATATTAATTATAAATGCTTGGCTAGTAGCTTAGGCTTGCTACTAACTAGCTCTTACATTTCTACTCATCAATGTGCTGCCCCCAGCTTGTTTACTTCATCTATGAACTTTCCATGTTGCTTCTTTCATGTCTGGCTCATGACTCCTCTGACTCCACCCTCCTTCTTCCCAGCATTCTCTCTGCCCCCCAAATCCTGCCAATCAGCTTTTTATTAACAATGAGAGCAACACATTTTCACAGTGTACAAAAGGATTATTCCACAGCATTTAGACTTTGTATTTGACCAGATGACCGTCTGCTAAAAAGGTGTTCTTGAGGACATCAGGGAGGTCTCAAGTAAGCACATCATTTACATACACCCTGAGTGTAGAAGGAAAGGGCCAGGTTGGGGCTGGCTCTTCTTATTCTGAGATTAGCACTAGGCACAGTTGTCCTAAAACCTGGTACCTGGGGGTAGGGAGTGGGGGGGTGGTCAGGGCTCCTCATACAGGAAGACAAGTGTTAGGATGAGATGAAGAAAGCATACAGCCTTGCAGACCTTGCAGCTCTGTCCCCCAAAATATCAATGGGATCTTCCCATGTCACCTGAATGGCAGCCAATGATCAGGCTTCCAACTAAGACAAGGTTGTGGGGCTTGGATTCCTGGGAGCCCAGTGGACGCCCCATGCAACAAGTGCAGGGGAACGCCAAACCTCCTATTTTCCCTGATTACCCCTCCCAGAGAACCCCAAGTTCAGCTCAAAGTTGCAGTAATGATTACCACCAACTGCAAACTCCCCCAGGCACTCATTCTGGCCCCTGCCTCCTTCCTAGAGCATTCCTGACTCTGCCCATGCGCCCTGGAGTTTCTGCCCCCTCCCAGCACCTGCCAAGTCCCAGTTCTCCACAGGACCTTTGGGCATCGTTGAGATAAAAGTGAAACAATCACATGGCCGAGGAGCATACTTCATTCCCCGCCACGCCTGTGGCTACATGTGCACTAGTGGGCTCGGTCCCCCAGGACTCACCTCTGAGTACCGTAGGTGGGTCCCCATCAGTTCTTCCTTCCCCCTGATCTGAGAACCAGCGAACACCAGGGTGAGCGGTAAAGGCTCAGCCCTGGGTGCCCCGTGGCCTGGTGGGTCCCAGCATTCAGGAAGCTGTGAGTTACAGTGACAGAGATGTCACCCCTGCAGTCTTTGTCCCACAGAGGAGGTGGAGGCCTCCTTGTCTCCAGAAGATCAGAGTTGGGGGGAGGCAGCGACTTTGGGGCTGTCAGCATTCCGAGTGATCATGAATCCCTAGAAAGACGGCACTGAGGTCACTGTTCGGGGGAAACATATAACCTCCACCAAGGCTGCCTCCTGGCAGCCGCTGTGGCTGGAGAGGCGAAGGGCATTTATCAAGAGGGAGGCATCATCCAGAGCGCTTTCACAGCTGCGTCTCCCAAGAGACAGCACATCTGAGCTACCTTCTTCAGCCTCTTGCTTTCTGGCTTGCCTTGGGAGGTCCCTGTTCTGGGCAGAGGCTGGCCCTCAAACCTCTCTTCTAGTCTGATGAGGGAACAGCCTCATGGTGGTGACATCAAGGAGAGGGACTGTGGGTGGTCCACAGCAGAGGACAGAGCTGCTCTGTGAGCCACACTTCCTTTAGGGGAAGAGAGGTCTTCTCCATTTACAAAACCGTTCTTTCCTGCCACCAGCCAAGGCAGGTGAATAATGGGGGGGGACCCGTGACAGTCACAGCTCTATTCCACTGCTACCACATTCAGGCATTGTGCTGGAGACTGGGTACTAATGATCCATTCATCTTCCTGACTGTGCTGGGAAATGGTTTCTGTTCTCATTCTCATTTAAAACTTGGGGGAGTCTGGGGCAACGAGATATTAAATAAGCTGTCTAAGATTACACAGATTAAAAAGTATGACTTGAATTCAGGACCATCCATTTCAAAAGCTGCTGCTTCCTATACTTAGAACCATCCCGGGAGCGGCTAGGGAACCACAAGTGAGGCCAGGAGGAGGTCACTTTCCCCTTCGGGAACAGGGAGCGAGCGACTGCAGAGAGAATCCATCTCAGGACATCTTGACAAGTGCTTAGAAGCCTTTGACCAGAGACAGCAGTAAATGTCTGCAGAAAAGCACTGTGGGAACAGACAGGCACCAGACCTGCAGGGGCCGAGATCTTCCTGAGGGCTGTGTTGATGTGACATTAGACGGGGAAGCCATTGTCGAAGTCACAAGGCCTTGGCTTGTCCTGCTCAATGATGTCATCTCTGGCAATGAATGGGTCTACGTCCTTGTCTCCAGGACTCGGTGTTCAGTTCCATATAAGAAAGTAGATCAGGCAATGGGATAAGGCAGCAGCGTAGTCTTCCTTTGCACTTCCGATGGGGGAGGGGGAGTTAAGTGTGGATAAAACTCAGCCCACCCAGTTCTTACCCAATATCCGCTGTTTCGCCCAGCTTTTCGCTGCCAACCCATCCTGATGGCTCTCTTCCCAGTTTCCCAATCACAGACCTTGGATTCCTTGTAAATTCCTGGGCAGAATTCACAGAACCAACAGCCAGTGGGTCATTGGGCAAAGCCTCTAACCGGATCCCTTATCATCCTCCAGCTGGTGAGGGCCACACTTGTTTTGTTTGGGCTCTTAGTGTGTTCCAGCCTGGGTGGACCAACAGGAACAGGCTGACTGACTCACAGACTTTCTATGTGGCTGTTTGGTTGGAGTAACAAAGACCAGTTTCTGGAAGGTTCAGCACATCTGTATGGGAGGGAGATTTAGTCTGGAGGTGATCCCCAAGCAACTTGTGCGTTGCCTCTTGTTGATGATGGCATCTTCTCTGCTTTCTCTCCAGCAACTGGCTGTTCGGCTTCCCCTAACATTCCTTCAGGGTCGAGAACTCATTACTGCTCCAGGACGGAGGGAGGCAGCTCCTTTGTGTTTCCACAGCCTGACCGTAACTGCTCCAGCACAGACTGCCTAGAAAATCAGAACTAGGGAGCCAGGACCCTTTGCCTAGCTTAGCCAGCCAGAGGCTCAGCCATAAATCCTGGGATCCTGCTACTCACTTTACAGACAGAAGCAGCTCTTCTCGGATTAGGTTACAGGGGCAGGAACTTTTCCTAATGACCTTGACTGAGCTCTTAGACTCCAGGAACTCCAATAATCTCTGTGTTGCAGCATCTCATGTAACTCAAGCCACTCTTGGGCATTTGTGTGACAGACACCACTCACTGAACACATGAAGCGACGGAAGCCGCACGAGATGAAACCGGGTCCAAAGTCACAGTAGCTGATTAACAACAGAACCAGATTTGCACCCAGCTTCCATTTGAATCTGTACTGGTTAG